TTTTTTATGTTTTAAGAGCCCTCACCAAAGGACAGCTCGAAAAAAAATTTTTAAGAGGTCACTCGAAATTTTTCAAAATTTCAAAAATCGAATTTTTTTTTTTTTATTTTTTTTCTCGTTACGGTATAATTTTATAGACTTAAAAAAAATAAGTTTCTGAAAATTTTAGTTCAAAATTCGAATTTTGAAAGGTCGCTTATAATTTTTTTCAATTTATTAGTGCATTAGTTTAGATTTTTTCGAGTGACCTTTTACTATTCAAATTAAAATTCCATGCATTTTTTTTTTTTATTTAGCACAATAATCGATAAGAATACATAACGAGATGAACTAAAAATCAAGCACAACATAGAAAATATAATTTTTTTTAATTTAATAATTTTATTTAATCAACTGCCAGGCATGAGTTCGAATCCCAAGCTGGTCTTTTAGAAACCAGCTTGGTTGAGATTTGACCTTGCCGCGTAGGTTAAGATTTTTTCAAACCAAAAAGACCCCAACGTACCACTCCTAACACTTAAAGTCGGCGATATGACTAATTAACGAAAAATAAAAAAAATTATGAGCGACCCTTCAAAATTTAAATTTTGAACTGAAACTTTCAGAAACTTATTTATTTTTTGTCTATAAAATTATACCGTGACGAGAAAAAAAATTAAAAAAAAAAAATTTTTGATTTTTGACGATTTTTGAAATTTTGAAAAATTTGGAGTAACCTCTTAAAAATTTTTTTTTGAGCTGTCCTTTGGTGAGGGCTCTTAAAACATCAAAAACTAACATTTTTTCACTCGAGACTCAAAAAAAAAAATAGTCGGTTTTTTTGCGCCACCCTAATATAAATATATATAAACTATATATAATCGAAAAATAAATCACGATTGTGGTGGCTTTATCAAGATTCCAAATAGGATTAAAGATAACTTCATAAACTGGCTGGAGTTTTTCTTTGAAATTTTTGCCACATTCTCGAGATTTTGTTTTTTTACTTTGACAAGAAATTTTTTTATTTGATTATTTCATTTTTTTAAAGTTATTTTCTCATAACTTTTGACTTAAATTATATCTAAATTCTCTTGAAAAAGAAAATATCTCTTTTTAGTTCTTTCATACTTTTAACAGACTTAAAACAACTGAAATTTATTTAAGTAATGAAAAGTAATTAAAAAATATTTTTTGGTTCTGATTTAATAAATGAAAAAAAAAAATCAAAAACGTAGTCGGCTAACTTTAGTATTATACAAAAATAACACTGCTTGAAAAAAAAAAATATATATATAATGTGAAATATCAAACATTAGACAAATGAAGCAATGAACAAAGATCGTGAAAGTTGGCGTAAAATTACTGGAAGCAATAGATCGGGGGTTGGTTTTTAGTGAGTATATTGTTTTGTATATTGGTCGATGATTCACGAGCGCATAACTACTACCATCCACCATGACCAATAAAAGCTTATAACCGAGCAGGCAGGAAGCTCTACTCTACTCCATCGGAATATCTAGCTCGGTGAGGTCATTAATGTACCACCTTTCCGCAGGATAATTTCGTTAGTTGTGGACGGGTGTCCGACCCCTCCCTTCCCTTCTCTCCCATTGATGTCATGTTCTATATA